AAACTTGCAGTTTTTTTTAGCTTCTTGTCCCCCTGTGTCCCCCATTTTCCTTCCCCATTCCCCCCATTTTTCCCCAACTGCTTTTCCACAAAATGAACCAAACAATCAAAGGGGGGAATGAATAAAACATGAATTATTTCCCGCATTCCCCAGAGAAAAAGATGTCAAAAATCAGAGGAGGCGTGTGCCTCGGGCTGCATAGACATGGGGTCGTCTGACATGAATCCTACATCCGGTTGACCCCAAGGGGGAGCCCCGGATTTGCCAGCTCTCCTCATCCAACGTATCCAATCCAACATTTCCAATCCAACATATCCAACGTACCTTACCAACGTAAATTGGCATCTCGTCTTGTCGGATTTGTCCCGATTTCCCTCGGTTGAAAGCAAGCCACCGGCCTGCCAGACGAAGGAAACATTGAGCAGCCCAACCTGCAGACCCTGCAGCCGAATGCTGTCGTCATACCTATGAACGCGGGTCGAAGGGTTAAAGTCACTCTCGAGCTGCCTATTTTTCTTTTCTTTGCTAGAAGCCCAATTCCAATTTTTGGTTTCCCCTTCCACCCGATTGCCCGCCGCGGATTGCATGCGAGTTCCTCCATTTCGACCAATTCGTTGCTTTCGAACTGTTTTACCCCTGTCCTAATTCGTAGCGTAGTCTTGGTAGCATAGCATGGTCTACGGGAAAGGAACGTGCAGGGTCCAGTAATTCCAGCACTAGATGCGGTAGTCGATGCGGTAGTCGATGAAGTAGCGCCGACGACCTTTCTACTATTTTTATTATGTGCCTTGTTCCTATATTCCCCGTTCGTCACTACCTACTATACAAACTACCTACCTACGACATAGCAAAATAGACGACCCCGAGATACGTCCACTGTCATCGGCTAGATACATGTACCTTACTTACATGTAAATTACATTTGTGGTTCTATTATTTACATGTACCACGTGCATGTACCGTGATACATCAACTACATCATGTATGTAACGTGTGGATGACAGAGTCAAGTATACATTTTCCAAGTATACATTTTCCAAGTATACATTTTCCAAGTATACATTACCCATTACCCATGTCTCCACACATCTAACGTACAATCAGCATCCGCAAGTGTGGACTGACCGACTACAAGGAAGTAATATTAAGTAAGGTAGCGGGCAAGGTAGCAGGTATGATACAAGCAAAGAAAGCTGACTGCTACTGCCTCATTCCTCATTGTTACTGGATTGGCCTCCGAGATCCTTGATAACTTTCCACTTTTGTTTGCGGTTTCCGTCGCTCTCTCCTCCATGTCATGTTCCTGGTTCTACCAGTCAGTCTCGCCTTCTCTAAGCCTTTAGTTGCTTAGTCTCTTTTTAGGTTGTATACCTCTTTATACTTTATACCTTATACTTCATACCTCATACTCATACGTACATATCTTGGCTCGCTATTCCCCTTTGATAATCTCCACGCCCATGCCCACGCCCATACCCACACCCACGCAGTCTCCTCGTGTATATATACTCGAGACTATCCCCAGACCGGCGTGCGCGTTTATTTGAAAGACTTCTTTCTCCTCAGCCTTTTGTCTCGGGGCCAAACTCTGCCGCTCAAGCCACCCACATCATACCTCCTCTCCTTCTCCATACCATACATCTCCCCGACCTAGTTTTGTTTATTATATCCCTCCTCCCTCCCTTCCCTTCCCGTCGGGTCTGGGTGGTCCCGGTAGAGTGTTTCTCATTGCGGGGAAATACCCTCTAGCTCAGTGACTTGACGTCTTATTCTTCCGTTAAATACCACGTCTGCTGTAGCGTATCTCCGTCTATAAAGCAGCCATGGAGGGCGCCTCGAAAGAATGGCCCGCCACATTTGGGCCTAACAACGAGCGTCCGACCTACAGCTCCGAGGAGACTGTTGGTCACGTCAACGGTGGTCGCACGGTTGTGGGCCCGACCGTCGACCAGACCCTCGCCGAAAAGGTTGCCGAGAAGGAAAAGGTTAAGACGGAAACCGGAAAGCGAGAATTAAAGGAAGAAGACTGCGAGAGTGAACTTGGCTTTGCCTTCTCTTGGTGGAAGAAGTGGTGGATTCTCACCGTCATCTTCCTCGTCCAGACTTCGATGAACTTTAACACATCTCTATACTCAAACGGCCTCGAAGGAATATCTGAGGAGTTCGGCGTTAGCAAGCAGGCCGCCCGTCTTGGTGCAGCCATCTTCCTCATTACTTACGCTTTTGGCTGTGAGTTATGGGCCCCTTGGTCTGAAGAGTTCGGCCGGAAACCTATCCTACAGGCTTCTATGTTTCTCGTCAATATTTTCACCCTACCGGTCGCTCTAGCTCCCAACTTTGGCTGCCTGCTAGCTGGAAGAGCCCTCGGAGGTCTTTCTACCGCTGGAGGAAGTGTGACACTTGGTATGGTGGCCGATATGTTCGAAAGCGACAGACAACAATATGCCGTGGCCTACATGTAAGTTCTCCATCCGCTTTGCGTCTGGAATATTAGACGGCTTTCCTCTTCATAACCTCTGATTCAATATGTCGGGGCCGATATAGATGATATGCATACTGACTTCAATTCTTTTGTAGTGTCTTCTCTTCCGTCGGTGGATCTATTCTCGGACCTATCGTAGGCGGTTTCGTAGAGACCCTTCCCCCGCATCAGGCATGGCGGTGGTGTACCTGGATCCAGCTGATCTTCGGCGGAGCTGTGCAGCTGTTGCATCTTTTCACGGTACCCGAGACACGCACGACAATCATGCTCAATAAGATTGCCAAGAAGCGCCGACAGAGTGGCGAGGATCCCAACGTTTACGGCCCCGATGAGATCGAATCTTTCTGGAGTCGATTCACGCTTAAGGAACTCATTTACACCTGGCTCCGCCCTTTCCGCATGTTCCTAACCGAGCCTATTGTGCTGACGCTGTCTCTACTCTCTGGTTTCTCGGATGCCCTCATCTTCATGCAGATCCAGTCGTTCGCTCTAGTCTATCAGCGCTGGAACTTTAACTCTTGGCAGATCGGTCTCGCCTTTGTTCCTATAGGTCTTGGTTATGTATTCGGTTGGCTTCTTTTCCTGCCAGCTTTCAAGCGAAACCAGAGACGTCGCGAGAAACATCCCGAAGACGAGCATGCCCAGTATGAGTCCCGTCTTTCTCTTCTTCTCTGGCTCGTCCCATGCTTGCCTGTCGGCCTCATCATTTTCGCCTGGACGAGCGGTGGTCCGCCGCTACATTGGATCGGCTCTATGTTCGGCACGTGCATAATCGGCATTGCCAACTACGCCATCTACATGGCTACAATTGACTACATGATCTGCGCGTACGGACCTTACTCTGCCTCGGCTACCGGTGGTAACGGTTGGGCGCGTGACTTCTTGGCCGGTGTCCTCACCCTCCCGGCGACTCCCTTCTATACCAACATCGGCGCTGAGAAGGGTCTAAACCTGCAGTACGCGTCAACAATTCTGTTCTGTATCGCATTCGTTTTGGTTATTGCCGTATACGTCATCTACTGGAAGGGCCCGACGCTACGTAAGCGCTCGCCTTTCGCTCAGAGCTTGGCTCAAGGCGCTGCCCAATTTGGCGGTCATGCTCTCAGTCACGTCCACTCCCACCGCCCATCGACAGCGGGAGGCGACACACGACCGCAGACTTCGACAACCCACTCTCGACCCACAACCGCACCAAACGCGCCGACCCTGGAAACCATGCAAAAGCGACCTGGTGACCGCATGTCGGCATCACGACACAACTCGTACTACTCGAGCGCACAGGCTGCAAGTCGCCGTCAGAGCCGACAGGCCAGCCGCAACCCTAGCAGACGAAATAGTACCGATCTCCATCGGAAATCCGAGGATAGCGAGGAGGAAGGAGTTTCTCACCACCATCTCCACCACCGACTCCAGAACCTCAACACCATCGCTTCGTTACCGACGCAACCAACAGAGCCCCGGCCATAGGGCAAGGTCGACTAACATTACCATATTTCACCAACCTATGATGATATGGAAACCTCTTAGAAGATATTACTACATCGCGTCGGAGGGATTGGGCTGTATATGTACATATAATGCACTAACATAAGACATATACAGCAGCATGAAGGGCGGGACGGCGGTGGAGAGTTGCTACACTATGTCTCTAGCAGAGAGTCAATCGTGGTGGATGGGCTCTTCTGTCTTTATTATATACCCCAAGGCACCGGTGTCTTTTCTCACGCGGTGTGCCGGGACTGAAACGTCGGGATGGCATTCCATTGGGCGTTTGCGTGAGGTTTTTTTTTTCTTCGCTGTTCCAAGGAGTGCTCGTCTGCTGGAGTCGGGTTGGCTTCCCTCGGTTCTGATTGGTGGAACAGGGCGTTGAACAGGAGGGTTTCCATATCTACTACTACATTGATGAATGAAAGAGCCCATTTATTTATTACAAAGAAATTCGATTACTTATGTCCCTGCTATCGTATCATTTCGCACTTGCCGACTTCATGTGCGTGTTGTGTGCAGACGCGCACGACACGCAAGTGACCTATGATTATTACTAGCAGCCGAGTCCTACATCTGCAACGCAACATTGCCCAGGTTCCACTCGGGGCCCGATACTAATATTGAAGATTGCTTCGCTGTGGGTTGCTTGTAGAAGCGGAAACAAAGCTATATAGCTCGCCTGTATATTTTGTTTACTTTTTTTTCTCTATCTTATTGTCTTGTCAATTATACTTCAAATACTAAATCATCTTCTTAGACGCCGAGATACGTGATAATGGCGCATGTTACCTACCTGCCTACTTTAGATGGGAGAGACGAATGGAGTAATAGATCTGCAGTAGGTAAAACTTCTGTTCATCGAGATCCATGTCGGGTGTTACTGAACCTCAAATTTTAACGATACCTACCTTTCATATTACTAGGTTAGACATGGTTGTATGCGTATCCCGTATCACGTATCATAAGTAACGCCCACAACGGTACGATGATAGCAATGATTACAACAGGTAATTTCACAAAAAGGAGGCCCATGCAAAATTAATGTGACAGTGTATATATATGTTTCCATCAACTCATACGCGTAAGTTCATCTAGTCTTAGAATTCTACTTCGATTTATATGCCCGTATAAACAGCATTCAAAGCCTCGCGCTGGCTCTCCAATTTGATACCTTAGACGAAGTGCCGCCGAAATTATGAAGCCGTTCCCCCATAAGGTACGCCTCGTCCCGGATCCGAACCTGCCAACCTTCGAATACGCGTAATATGCGCCGCATCAAAATGAGACTTGCCCAGAAGAGTGCAGTAGATGGATAGGCGAGGCGGAATATCAAGACTCGCATTTCCTGAGCTACTTCGGGATTGACATCTAAAATGTGGTGAAGGGTTACCCACGCCATAATCGGAGGCATCGCGATCATCACCAACGATGCTACGATGCCGGGAATGACAAACGCTCGTGTCAAGACACCGATATCGGGCTCTAGCCAGCCGCGACGTAGAACGGCGCGTACGGCATGCGCCGGCCTGCCGCCGTACAGCGTCACAGCCCGGGAACCTAGTTTGAGGTATAGGATACCTAAAGTCCAAGCTTGAATAACCCGGATGGTGTGACCCCCTCGCAAACCCTCGAATCGCCTCGTAGCGTTCGCTCCGGCCGGATACATGTACGTATGCAACGGCATGAGTAGGTAGAGCTCTACCAGAAGCGTGATAAGGAGGGGAAACACGATTAGTAGGACTGTATAAGTATATAACAGCCGGGACGCACGATTCGTGAATTGGATAGCGTGCTGGATTGTCTGACGGTCGAGCATCGAATCCAGCACAGAGGATGTCAAAATTCTTAGTTTGTTGAGCATTGACCGTAGGTGAAAGACAAAGTAGCCCAGTGAGCCGAGAATGTAGACTCCAATACTAAACGCGTAGATATCGTTAGTCCGTATGTGAGAAGGTATAAGAACCTTAAACATGCGCCGGCCAAACACGAGAGGTACAATCGTGAAGCCGACTCCAGTAACAGCTGCGAAAATCCATATGGATAGGATGAATAGGAAGATACGGCTGCGAAAATAGGGAGGGACGTAAACAAATTGGTAATGAGTTCCCGAGTAGAGGTCTGTATCCGGGCGATCTGGCTTGCCGTCTTCCCTCTTATCCTCTTCTGATACGTCAAGGAAAACTGACTGGCCCTTGGGGATTTTGACCTGATCAGACGCTGGCGATCTCACAAAGCGGCCGTCGGGGATGAGTTGTCCCGAGTTGACAAGCTTCCCCTTCCTTTCGTTGTGCGCACTCATCTCCTCGGCGGGAATTTCCGAAGAAGGTTTCGCCCTTCCTCCTTTGAATGTGTCTTGCCACGTTTTCGGGACCACTTCAGTTTCGGCATTGACTTCGAGGAAGATCCGACGCCACCAGGGAAGTTTTCGATAAGGCGAGCTTCCGGGAAGCACTAACGTACCCTCCTCGTCTATGCGTCGCTCGCCGAAGAGGAACCATGTCAGCCGTAGGGCTCTGGCGCACTTTCGGAACCACCAGGTATACATGGCGTGAAGCCCGTCGCTCGGCCTGAAGAACTTGACGGCGAGAGGCATTAGGAAGTTGTAAAAGAGCAGGTCGATCGGGAATTCAAGGACCGGCTCGTTAGAAGAGTAATGGATCGGAAGGACGTTGGGCAAAGTTAGGGATAAGCCCCACACGACACCCCCGAGACAAACTACGACTAACGCTCCATAAACGAAAGCCGAAAATAGTATCTTGCGGAGCTGGGTTGTAACATTGCGCTCGAGGACGTCGCGCACCGGATGAAACTCCGGATCGTCCGGATCGCGGATGAAGTCTAATTTTAATTAGCAAACCTACCTAGGTAGCCGGTAGCTTGAATCGAGGGTTTCTTACATAGAACACCTTTTCGCATAATCTTGCGGCACATAGAAACGAAGAGAGCGAAATGAAACATGTATGCGGTGCCGACGAACCAGTGGACGAAAATGGAAGTGAGCGGATAATTGTAGGTAAATAAAAGACGAGATCTGAGGCTCGTGCCTTCGAAGAGGGGGAGTAACGCGAAGTCTAACAGCAATCCGCAGTACAATGGGAATATCAGCATTTCTATACTGATGATCAAGATCACCTTCATGACGCCGCCGGCTTGATTTAGGAGGTCGATAATGGATGCTTCCCATTCTTGAGCGGCTTGCCCTGTACAAAACGGTGTCCCTCTGGCGAGATAGAACCCGGCTATGACTGACATAGAGACATATCCAGCAAGAATAGCCCATGTCCTGTCGCTCGCGTCCCAATAAGCAAGAACGGGATTTGTAGACGATGACGGTTCGGAAAGACTAAGATTCAACATCCACGACCCTGGCTGCGTTACGATGGTGGGGAGAGCTTTCAGGGATTGTAATGTTGCCGGTACCAGAACGGAAATTATAGACTTGGCCGTAGCCAACTTGGCAACGTAGTCGCCGCCAAAAATATACAGAATGACATGCCCGACAGATGAGAGAGCGTACCGGATCTCGCTTTTTATTATGATAAGGGCCTCATGGCTGACGGCAGAGAAGTTACGCACCTCGCTAACTGAGATGAGCGGAATCTCAGACATGAAACTAGCGAGAACCCGCTTTAGCGCTCTGATGGCAACGTGTCTAGTCTCAATTCTGAGGTCATGTATCAGTTGTTCTCCCTGATCGATTCCTAGAAGTACAGTAAATGCTTCGAGGAGGGTGAATACAATCGTCGAGGTATAACCGACAGCCAGCAGGACGGCGTCTTGAACAAACTTGGACGCGCTGAAAATGATTCTGAGCAGACGAGTCGGATGCGCGACGACCCAAACAGATACGCGACCGAAGTTATATGGAACAAATACGCACGCAAAGATAGAAATAGATACGAGAAAGGCGCAGAAGATGGCGTTTTGGAACAGGCCTGCGATCGGGCCGCGCATACCAATTAATTCCATGATTCCTTCGAAATCTTCGGCATCTTCGACGGCTTCTGGATCGATACCAGCAGCAACGGCAGCTTCGACGACATCTGGGGCCATCTCAATCTCATCTTCACCTTCTCCCTCAATCCCACGATCGTTGTCGAAGAATGGCGCGTTCTGATTCACACCGAAAATATCCACAGCTTCTTCTGGTTCAATTTCATCCAAATGGCCAGCCTCTACGTCGCCCCACATGAAATCGGCTACACGATCCACAATGCTACCGGCCTGTCTCGCCGCAACGACAGCAGGCTCGTTACCATGAGCCGGTTCGACCAAGGCAGTGGAGTCATCGGCGTGGCCGTCTCCCGTAGGATTCTGTAAGCTGATTTCATCAACCATCCTGTCTTCCACAGTCGCCGGCGTGTTGAATCCTGGTTGGAGAGGTACGGTCGTCTGTTCAAAACGTTGTGATTGGTCAACAGCGGTACCGTCGTGAACGGGTCTACTTGGTTGTGACAACCCCGTTCGGTGGATATCGCTATTCACACCTAAATATACTGGTGGAGGTGAGGCTGAATCGCCGGGGCCAGACACATTCTCATGAGAACCATTCGACGGGCCAGAAGGTAGATCGGAAAACGACCAGTTATTATTTGCAAGCCTATTGATAGGTTTGGGGGCCTGAGGACCGTCGGAAGCTGATCTTGGCCTAGTTAAGGGCGGTATGTCTGAAGACGACGCATTTTCGCCAAATTCGCCTCCCCAAGACGCCCAGGGATCTGTCCAGGAATCACTGCCATTTCCGGAAGTCTCAGTAATTTTGCCTTTTCCTTTATCGTGGGGACCCTGGCTCGCTATGGCATCGCCGTCGTCGTTTTCCGCCCACGTCCAACTCGAGTTATCGCTACTAGTCGCGTCAGCTCTGGGCGAGTCCGACTTTGTAGGGGACCGACTTGAGCGCCGTTCCTGGTGAGTTAGAATTGAGCTTCCAATACCGTTCCCCAGATCGAGACTGCTTCCGTCAGCAGCCCTACCAGCAGTTGCCATCGATTGCGTTACGCGGATCCAGTATCGCATACGTTCTTCCAGTCCTTCCTCTCGAATGATTTGGAGGATTCTTCCCTGGTCTCCGCCGGCTTCTCTATAGATCCGTAGATACTCCTTCACCGTACCCTGCGAACTGCCCTCACCATCGAGAATGTCCGAGAGAGTCCGTTCGCTGTTTTTATGCTCGGCTGGGCCAGCCTGAAACTGGTTGCTCTGCTCCTCGAGCCCTGCATTGTGTACGATAGACTCGGCACGACCGCGGTCTTCTTGCTGATCTTCCTGTCTGCCATTGGTATCAAACCGTGGCGCTCGCCGCCGGAATTCGGCAATAGGTCTATGACGAGGGTTCTGTATATCGACAATATCTTGCAGGTGACCTGCTCGATTAGGATCCAAGTCTTGAGTATCATTGTCAGCTATCGGCCCATCCCGTTCTGCAGTGGAGTCTTCATCAGAGTCCACGCCCTCGTCGTCATCTGGACCCAAGTTGCGCGGTGCCGGATTGTTCACGGGTCCGGGCGGCAGAGGAGCCTCGTTTTCTGCTGCGGCGAAAGCAGCGCGCATGTTTATTTCAGGTTGCTGCTGCACCACGTAATCTCGGACTAAGATGATCAGGATAAAACATACGATGACCAGCAAAGTTATAATCTGACCCTCTAGAACAGCGATGATGGTCCGGTTGATGGCAGGGTGTCGCGTGAAGTGTTTGAGGACGGCAACTTCGCTCAATAAAGATGATGGGCGATAAGCGGCAGGCGAGATAGAAAACTGATCGACATTTGTCACGTTCAGGAAATCCTTAGTTCCGTACATTGACTTGTCTGTGGTAGCGGACAAGCCCAATAGTGTAGTGAGCCAAGTTGGAGGGCTTGCGTTCAAAGGTCTCGAGATGGCTCTCAGCAAATTGGACACAGGAATCTGGTCGATGATACCTCCAATACTCGCAGCGGTCGTCGTAGCGGGTAGCAAGGGTGTGGATGCGCATGTAGTCGTGCCCGTGACGGAAAGAGAAGACAGATCGCCTCGGCCTACTGAACTGGCATTCCGAGAATCGAGGATAGGTGGGCTAGGACCGAAACCCTCATCGCTGATCCAGAATAGAAAGGACCAGACGGAACGCATGAGATAGGGAAGCCAGCCAAACCACACGCTAGTGACCAGGATGGCTCTTAACCAGACAAGAACGTTGCGGAAGAAATATTTGGCCATATGGGTGACGAAGATGTACAGAGGTAGTCGCTTGGGCATATTCGGGGAGTATAGCTTGGTGAAGCGGAATGGCGTCTTGCAAAGCTCGCAATGCTTCTTTTGCGAATGTGAGAGCCATTCCATCAAGCAATCCTGATGTACATATTTGATACTGCCGCTGCATTTACAAGGGTAAAAGAGAGGCTCGTCGGTGGTGCCCTCTCCTCGACAAATCCGACAGGTATCGGGATCGATCGAGTCGTTGGTCAAAGGTTTAACTCCCGACGTGGAATTCTCCGCCATAGCATCAGGCTTCGTAACGGATTGCTTCCGTCGCTGAGCGGCGTTGGGGAATTCGGTAAGGTCGGGTAAGAAATCCGTCATCGTAGGCAACGAAATCGGCTTGAAACTAAAACCAGTCGGTGATAGATAAATTGTAATTCTCGCCCAAAGGGCTCTTTTCTTTAGTTTAGACCATGAGATTGCGGTATCGTCGCGCGTGGTGTGGTAGGTCGATTGAAGTTGGAAAAAGAAAAAAACAGACGGTACAAGGTGGTGATAATCGATGCAATTAAACTGCCTGCCAACGGGTGTGAATTACCTTAGCTGGGGCGATAAATTCGAAGTGATTCTTTGTATGTTTGTATGTTTCCGTACCTGATATAGAAGCTACATAGGTAGAAAGTACGTCAAAAAGACTACATATCTTACGTAAGGTAATATCGCTGTGGCAACTATTGTCATCGGAATAGAGCAAAGCCGATGGTACAATACCTAGGGTGGATTACCTAATCTCGTGATAACAGGTATCTAACTAATGTTGCTACACGCAAATACCTGAAAGAAGCATAAACGAGAATCATAGTACGAAGTGCAGCAACAAAATAGATTATGCTATTATTTACGCACTAAAGCATCAATTATACAATAGATAACCATTCATTTATTAAGAAGTCTTCGTTAGCCAAATAAAAGTTATGACGTGATGCCCAAGACCACAAGAGAAGTCCGGGTTGCTATGTAGTTGATGCGACTGACTAATTTTGATAAACCTGCTTTCTTTTACCAATACCTAGGTACATTTACGCTAGCAATAAGTTTAGAAATCTAGACTTGGTCAGTTATATGCTCATGTAATCGGCGTGGCCCAAATCCGGGTTTACACTATTGCAGCTTAGACTGGCAACGATGCGATGATAAAGACTTTGCTAGTATGTATACTTGTAATGTCTGGTAATTATAAAAGTACTATATTAATACATCACTTGTTTCCATCCCACGCGAAATATATGCAAGTCTATCGGTTCCCGTCCTGTTAGGGTCCCATCTAGCGTTCCAGCAATCCGGGTTCGTCAAGCTGACTTGCGGACCTTACAGTATATAATAATGGTCATTGCTATACCCGGATGAATCCTGCATTTATTGAAATGATAAGTGCTTAATCAACAGTCAGTTGACAATCAGTTCTTTATTTATTAGACATAGACATTGATATAACTCTCAAGATCTGTGCTGCAGGGGCAGATCATCTCTTCTACACTGCTTGGCTGCAGACGCCATAGCCGGATGACGTCTACAGAATAATTATGGCATACACTACCTAGGTACAAGGCAAGTTGGCAAAGTCTAGTTCTTGAGATGGAGGGTTGACCGTAAAAGACGAACGTCATAGGCGATAAGGCGATGGAAGAGTAGCCTGTTTCCTGATATCTTACCTCCTTAAAGCCTTCAGAGATCCGATCAACCACCAGCATCTTTTTTCAACCGTCCGGTAATATAAGTTACCTACTTAGATATAGCTTGATATAAGTACGACCGTCCAATTCTCCAATCTTCAATCCCCAATCCGACCCCTCGTGTTTATCTTTGAGATTATGTACGAAATACCCGTTCTCACGTGAAATATTTACTATCGTATATTTCGTCATAGCTCCTGTGGGTTCATCAGCTCGATGCGCACAAAATAAATACATAGGTACCTAGGTACGTACATATCATTCATTCGTTCACCGTCCTTGAACTCTTCTATTTGTTGATCATACCCTTGTAAATTGATATCATCGAACCCGACGTTTACATTATTACTTTTTTTTTCTTTTTCTTTTTTTTAGGTGAGGGAAGAAGAAGAAAACAGGCAACAAAGACTGTATCGATTTCTCGAACCTTCACACACCCCTGCGTCATCCCTGATAATCCCTGATCATCTGTTTTTGTTACAGGAAGGCAAAACGCCAGCCTTAGCTTCGCGGCCGTCACACACCATCATCAAAGCTTCTAAAACTTCTGTATCCACTTTCTCCCACTCTCTTCTACTCTGCTATCCCACAGAATCTTAAATCTCCTCTTTTATTCCCTCTTGTCTTAGACTTCCTACGTAGTCAGCTCCCGAGTCGGTCACATACACCTATGTACACACATTCGAATCTCAAGTCGCGGACTCGATGCTGACCTAGAAATAAAGAATCAATATATTCCCTATCTACCCTATCTTGGTCGGTTTCGTACGACTCATCATCGCATCTCGGGGATATCCCATCCACCACACCGATTTCTGTATAAAACTTATCAACTTTACCTTCATGCGAATAAAATTAGTTCTATCGATCGAGCTCACCGCTAGGTGCTTTTACTATGGCCGGTGCAACGAACACCAGATCTAAGTCAAGCACGAACGGGTCTCTTAAGGGACCCAAGAGTGTCAAAGGCGTAAATGGGATTAACGGAATTAATGGTGTCAATGGTTTAAACGGACATGCTACATCTCCCAGGCGGAAAAATACCGAACAGAAGAAGAAGCGGAGCTTCTTTGCGTGGAGCTTTAGCATCATCGCAAGGTTGGATAAAGATTTCGCAGAATACTTCCCTGGTTTAAGAACAAGATACTAATCCGCATTCTATAATAGGCTATTAACTTGGTATTCTATCTTTACCCTCCTTTTCCGTTGTCCTTCTACTCTCGACGCTTGTGACGACACATCGCCCAAGATATGTAAACCATACTTCCAGATCAAATCGGCCGTTACACCGCATATCACACCCTATTACGATGCTTATGCGGCGCCTTACGTCGATGTTGCCAAGCCATACTACGAGACAGTCGACCGCATTGTCATCACTCCTGCCCGCACGTACGCAGTCAAATATGGTGGCCCACGAGTTTCCCAGGCCCGAGCATTTGGTCAGGTCAAGTGGGAGGAGAGCGTGCAACCTAAGCTAAGCGAGTATCAAGCTATAGCAAAGGCCCAATACGATCAAATGGTAGCGCCCCATGTTGAGAGTATCTCTGCCGTAATATCTCCTTATTATGATATCGCGCGGGTCAATGCTTTACAGACCTACCATGAATTCGTACTCCCGGCCTACGTATTCATACAGCCCTACGCCGCACAAGGCTACGATGCTGCCTATTCGTTTACAACTGACACTGCGGTTCCTTCGACTATCTGGGCCTGGAATAAGACTTACACTTTTCTGGACACTACAATCTGGCCTCATCTACGAGATGTTTACGTTATGAAGGTTGAGCCGCAGCTTGTACGTATTGGTGAGCGACTAGGGAGGTACAATGAGAGAAAGGCCAAGCCGGTGACTGAGGAAGCTAGCTCGTAAGTTCCCACCACTTCGTCAAGAATTTATTTCCCGTGTGGTCCGCTGATAGCCAAATAGTTCAACCTCGCCCAGGTCTACTTTTACAAAACCAGTAGCATCTTCCATCTCCTCACCCGCTGCTTCGGCCGTCCAATCCATCGTAGAACCTGAACCCTTGAGCGAAGCAGAATCTTTTGAAAGTCGAGACGCGCCGGGAGTCGAGATTAAGCAGAAGAAATCACGCACGTCTGAGGAGACACGCGAGCTAGCCGCGAAGATCGCCGCCGAGGATCTCAAATTATGGGAAGGCAAGTTTACCACTGCTGCACAAGAAGGTGCGGCCGAAATTGAGGACCGTGTGGATGAGATCTCGGCCCGCATGATCGAAAGGCACGCCAACGGTATGGGTAGGTCTCTAGTGAAGCAACTCGAGGAGACCGCCAGCACCGAGTTAGAGAACCTCAAGAAATCCATCGTATCTATCTTGGAAAAGCATGGCAATGACAATGAAAAGAGAGATGAAGCCCTTGCTGCCGCTGTCCGGGCTGCTGGTCTCAAGATCAAGAACAAAGCCCAAGATATTCGTACCTGGCGTCAGACATATGATCAAGAGACAGAAATCGCGGTTACTAAGGCAGCTCAAGAGCACTATAGCATCCTTCAGCAAACTCGTGATCTTGCACTTCAGAAGATCGGTATGAAATGGGCATGGATGGACGGCATCACCTACAAGGATTGGAAGAAGTATCACGAGCTGAAGGCGCGTTTCGACGAGTGGACGGATGACTTCAAGCGCTTGATTACAACGCACCCTGGCCTTATATTAGCGCAATCAACCGGGGCTGAAATCGAGGACGAGGGTATGAATATTGCACAAGCTGCTGCTGAGGAATTGAGTCGATTGAAGCAGGTTGCCACGTGGAAGGCCATAGCCGGCGATGCCAGCGATAACTTCGACAGCGAAACAGCCGAATTGGCAGCAATATCCGTTGCTCAGAGGGCCGTGCAAAGCGCCACGTCAGCAGTTCCTGTCGCTAGCGAAAAGGTCGAGAACGAACAAGCGAACCTTAACAGCGCTGAGACTGTCATAATATCGCTTTCTCAAACAGATACGGAAGACCACAATACGTCTTCGCTTGCCTCGACGGAGAGCCTCGTGTCCAAACAAACTGAGAGCGCCACTAATTCTGTCGAGCCGTTACCGTCATCTGATCCAATTGATGGACCAGAGGAAGTTCAGGAAACAATCGTCGAATTTCGCGATGAACCAGCCGCACCCGTTGAGCCAGCTACCACTACTAGTATTAAATCTGCCCTCTTCGGCGCCGCAGCTCAGTCCGTACCTTCGCGACAACCTATTCTAGACGATGACATTGTTTCGTCTGCGTCCAGCGCTGCGTCCGTTGTTCAATCAGATATCCCCGCTAGTATCACATCAGCCGCGCAATCCGCATATACTGCCGCCGTCGCGGGAGCTGCGGACCATTATTCACGTGCTATGTCGGCCGTGTCCGCACAGATCCGCGGAGAGCCAAAACCTATCCACCAAGCGATGTTTAGTTCAGTTTCGAGCGCATATCTGGGTGCGATCGCCACGGCCAACTCGAGGCTCAACAATGCGATGACAGCCGCATCAGAAGGTATCTATGGCACTCCCACCACACAATGGATTCCCAGCATGCCAACTGTGCCATCCGTCGATTGGGAAAGAGTCCAGTCCATCGCACAACACAATTTTGACGACTCGTTAAAATGGGTTTCGGAGCAATATGAATCTGCAAAGGTAGCCATCGGCGCTTCCGAACCGACACCCAGCACTTACCTCGAGGGGGCAGAACGGAAAGCTGAGAAACTTCTTGACCAGGCTAGGCACAATTATTATGCAGGCATAGGTCTGGCGCATGCACGTTATTCCGAGTTTATTTCTGCTGCGTCTACAGCTGTGAGCTCTTTAACGGCTACGCCTACCCCAACCAATATTCAGGAGTCTGCCTCGTCCGTTGCATCAGTAGCCGGTGAATCGGTTGCTTCTGCAGCCTCGGTCGCTAGCGATAACGCCGAGTCCATAGCATCGTCCGTCGGCGACTTAGCTTCCGATGCAAGCGATTATATAGGGAAAAGCTGGGATGCGCTTGTCAGTCATGTCAGCTCCCAGGTCTACGGCGCTCCGACGCCCACTCCATGGTATGAGAATCTACAAGTCGCAGCCGGCAATTTCGCTTCCGCCGCTGGCGACCACGCAGCATTAGCTACGGGCGCGGCAGCATATCAAGTTTCAACTATCACGGTATTAGCAGAAGACTATGCTTCTTCAGCCAGTGTCGCTGCAGCATCCCAGTACTCGGCCGTCAGCTCTCTCGTTTCCGAGCTCGTCGTCGGTAAAGAGCCAACTTTTACCGAGTCGGTATATTCGCGCCTTATAGGGGCATACTCAGCCGGTGTTGCTTCTGCATCAAGTCTTGCCAATGTCGCATCCGCGACTGCAGTCAGCGCCGCCAGCGAAGCTAGTGATACCGCCAAGTCCGTTGCCGACGCCGCCGCAGGAAAAGTTGGGGATACAGTTAAGCACATCAAAGACGAGCTATAGAAGCTCGCATCGTATTTTTAAGCGCCCCATGTTCAACACTTATCTACGACTTGTCCACAAAAGAAACGCTATAGTGGTCTTTGGTTGATTTATTTCTTCCCGCTCTTTCGGAATATGGCATATACCCAGAGTATTTGGACGTCGACATTTTCCCTCCCATCTATATTGTATTTCCATTTTGCGATGATGCGTTAGCGAAAAGAGATGAGGTACCCTACGCTATTCATTTGTGATGGGTTAGCAAACGTGGAGGTTGGGGCGACCTAGACAGGTTTGCGGGCGGATCAGGCTAGCAGTTTTGTAGAGTTAATTTACGAGTGCCCCTACGATTAGGGATGACGATTGGAACGACTTATTCACGAAACCGACATTGGTGGAAACCCTCAGGAGCAAACTGGGTTCGAGCAACGCTTTGGGGCAGGGCTGCGTAGGGGGGAGGGTAGGGTATTTGGGATGTATCAATTACGTGTATGACAACTAGCTAGGGAGACGTATATCGAAGGTGCCAGGTTTATATCATCACAAGCCAATAAGTTTTGTTCTTCCGTATATTTTGGATAGTGACCTCAAAATTGTATATTCCGCTCAGACCAAGCTGACCCTACCAGTTGATATTAACCCGATCGCTTACCTGTCCAGCACAGGTGGCCCATCTACCAGGAGATCGTGCATTCCATATTGACTCCCAAGTCTTCAAATCACAACAACTATGCCACGTGAGTATACACTATCCTACTCTATTACCTCGGCACAATTATAAACTATCGCTGCCAATTTGAAGCCAACCCCAGTTCCGACGCTAGACAGGATACACAACTTTGCAATGGTATAAAGGTAATTACTGCATTCATCATCATAAGTCTTCGTATGGCGGGAGCCCCGTCCTCTATCATATACAACGTTTACCCTTGTCTATATGAAGGCTATTTCAACGTGTGGTGTCGTTGAGAGTACCGAACGGGTTAGTTTTCCGAGGGTGCTACAAGCACACGTCCGTCCCAGAACCGCGACAAAGGAACTAACCAGTAATAGAACAGGCAAATATCCCTTCACAACGTAAATCGGAACGATGGATGATAATCACCCATATTATCGACCTCCTCCTTGGGATGACTTAACCGCGAGTCTCTCCTACCGGCGTCCCGCCTCCTATTCTCGATAAGCATGCCTACGAAAAGTAGCGTCGCTGAAAGAGCACCCAGCCATGTGATAGCTAGGGCAGTGCCGTATCCGGTCAGGTAACGTGGAGCCTCCTCCTGGCGGAATATCAGGGCTGCTACGATGCCTGCGATGTTACCTAGAGAAACTTGGATAGCGGAGGCGAAGGAGCGTTTCCAATGGCCCGCCATATTGTTGGCGAGCCAGGCAAGCGCAATTGGCGTAGACACAAAGCCGCCGAGCGACACAAGGAATACGGCGCCGTATTTTGCATCGCTCGATAGGCCATCATGGCGCAATAGCATAGCGTACCCGACCGTGGCGATGATGCAGCCTAGAATAACGAAGCCATAGCGGTGCCTGAGTCGATCGGAGAAGTATGCCACAGATATCATACCTATTGCGGAGACGACATATACGGGGATAGTGTGAACTTGAGCAGCCTGTGCTTCCCAACCAAACTCGCGCAGAATGGTCGGCATGAAGAACGTGGTAGCGTAACCCGTAACGCCGATACCCATGTACATTAAAGCGCCAGCCCAAATCTTCCAGTCGGTCAAGATGCGTCGATACGCATATGCGTTAAGCGTGTCCATGCGCGCCGCCGTATTGGCGCCGTCGTCAGCTAGTCGAAGTTCCAGTTGGTGCTTCTCTTCCGGAGTAAGGAAGTGGCACTGCTCCGGCCAATCGGCGATGAAGAAGACGGATACAATGGCTACGACAGCTGTAGCCGCCCCTTCAAGGATGAAAATCCATCGCCAGCCCGCAATGCCGTTATGGCCATCTAGATTCGCAATCGCATATGCGAGCAGCTATATTCATAATTAGCTGTGTTTATATATTAGTGACTACCGTTGTTTAAGTCATCCTCTACCAACTGGGTCGATACGGACTTTCACAGGCTGATATAACGTGAAGGACAGACATGACAATAAGTACACCGACGAAAGAGAAACGTTACTTACTCCTCCAAAAGCACCACCAACGACAGTGGAGCAGAAGAAGAAACTTATGCGTGTCTGAAACTCGTGGCGCTTGTAATACATGGAAGTGAGATAGACGATAGCGGGCATGACACCAGCTTCGAACGTTCCGAGTAAGAAGCGCAATACGACAAGCCCCTCGTAAGTTGAGACGAAGCCCATACACATGTTGACAATAGCCCAGCTCAACATAAGGAACGGGATGTAGTAGTGAGGCCTGAGCTTTCTGAGAACCATGTTGCTAGGAACCTCGAGCAAGATGTAAGGGATGAAGTATACCTGTAACAGGTCAGTAAAATTGAAATGTAAAGCAACAGACTTAAAAAATACGGCTCACAAAGAGGGCAATGTTGAACTTATTACCGTATAGGTCAAGCTCCTCGGACATTCCTTGGATGCGGGCGTTACTGATGTTGATGCGGTCGAGGAAAGACATCATATAGATGACAAACAGGATAGGCCAGATGTGAAGGTCTATCTTACGGAGTAGACGGCGTTCCGCACGAGCGTCGATCATGCCCGGAGGAAGACCGGCCACTTCGGCGTCGGCGCTATGCGGCGTGCATTTGTGGTTGGCCATGATGGTAGCGATGCGAACAAGTTTGGCTTCGTTGGTAAGCTCCTCTTCCGATGCGTTAGACGGCATATCCGAAAGTTTTACTGGAAGCCGGAGTAAGTTGGAACTAGAATTAGATTTCCAAAGGGAAGATCGTTACTACCGCGAGGAAACAGGTGTAGGGGAAAAAGAAAGACGATTAATCAGTGACACATGTGAAGATCATGACAGGTGATCATCAACCGAAAGTGCGAAGAGCGAAGAGCAACAGCTGGATATGCCAGCTGATAAAAGAAACTAATGAATAATAAATTTAAAATTTAAAAAATAAGAATAAAAATAAAAATAAAAATAAAAATAAATAGAAGGTTATTCCACTGGTCTCCTTAAACAGAAGAAACTCGAACTCGCTACCTTATCGCAAAATCGTTTGGTCGGCGACCAATGATTTCTTTTTCGACGTTGCTTCGAGGAGGTATCTTAGGTTGCGAAGCTATTAGTTAGTTACATGCCTACCTCTTACATCGACCTCTTACATCGAATACATCCATATCAGCTCGGGCAGATTACGCATCCACGGTAAATCATGTAGGCAGATCTCACTAAATTCGTTCTTCTCGCCCCTCGGCGGCTTTTCTTAGGGATTCAGGCTGCGAGACATTTCGTCTCATGGTAACCACCTGTTCCTAGACATTGCCGCGACACAAGAACGACCGCGCCCCCGGCAATTGGCTATGGCGTAAATAGATATCCCTCACCACTGCCAAGGCTCGGAATGTTGAAAAGCTCGGCTCTCTAATAACGACCTCGTAGAGCTATGACAGCCCTCTGGAATAACAGGTACCTACCTACTTAGACCCCCAGACAGATGCTTAGATTACCGTAGGTACCTCATCAATTTTACCAACACTGGAATTCCGGGCCACTGTCGGCAAGCGTTAAATAGGTAGGTAGGTACTCATTCATGGGTGAAACGTGGATGGACTTATTCCAGAATTATCTACCTGTAGCCTACACGTGGGGGGACATATGCATAATATCAAGGGGAGATACATATACTTCGGCGTGGGATGACGATGCATACCTATGCATGTAACTTAGTAGATGTATTAGGTATTTTGAATGGTTTGAGAATGGAGATGGCTGTGATGATACGGCATACCACGAACACAAAGTAATACATTAGATTTGTGATATTTCAGGTGTAATGCCGTACCAAAAGCTAATGGACGTAGGACGCTTGCATATACATGTACCTACATGCGCATGTGCATATACAGATCTGGGGTCTGGTAGCAGCTAATCCTCCCTTTTCTACTTCTCTCCCCCCCTTTTTTTTTTAAAAAAAAAAGTGTTAGTTAATCATATCCTAAGATATCTGCCGCTATTCATTGCATGAGAACATCGTGTTACCGTCTAACTATTCATCGACATATGTAACCAACCTCATCTGTCAAACTACTAAGGTGGCCATAACTAACAAACATGCCCGACCTCACTTCATTGCCCCGATAGATTGAATTTGGTTTACAGGAAGCGCCACGGAGAAGTAAAAGCATCCCCACAATCCAGGGCAGATCTAGGGCATCTCAGACATGAGTCGACCTGGCGATGATATGCGTGAAACTGTCGCCTGCGCTTGCGAGTTTTTGTCTCACCTTGCCGGCCTTGTCTTACCAATAGCCGCACCTGACAGCTCGCCACACGGTACACTACCTATCAACGATGATAGCTGCGAACTTGCCCTTGCTATCCGGAATTGCCCTAATCTGAGATCTGGTGTGGCCGTTACATCTTCTCGGCTGTGCTCAATAACCACAACGCTAAGGTAACAGAGCAATATAGCAAAGCAAGCGGGTAGCCGAGATAGCCGTATACGCAAACGTGACTATTATCTATTATTCGGGTTAGAAAATATGGATATAGAGATATAATAGTTATATAGGTAGATTAGTTATAACAATATAGCAACTCTTAAAATTTGTCAGTTACCTATCAGTTCGCCGTGAAATCAGTTGACAACACCTGGATGTATTACATACGAAATTACAGGTAGTAGTACTATCTTGTACCATCTTGTTGTGCTTGTCTACCTAGGAGGTATGTAATGTTGGGTAAGAGACTACCTTAGGTAGGTTACGTCAGGTACCGAAGGCATATGGAAAGGGAGGAAATGATTCAGCGTATTCCAATATTCTCCAAAATTTAGTTAGGTATTGGCGTCCCTGTCAAAGTATATGTCGAAGTATGCGGCTGCTACCTCATTTTATGTCTCACTTGAGATCTTCATTGTGGCTGCTGGTCTTAAATGCATCCTTACCCATGGCGAAGGAAGTTACCAAGGGCAAGTAATTGTAGCTGCTTAATTGTCTATCGCGGTAAAGTCTATTGCTAAATTCTATTTCTATTTCTATGGGGTACATCTCCCCCCAGGGAAGGAACTATATAGGTACGATGCGTATAGTGACGTACATAACACCAACTTGTACGCAAGAGTGTACGCACATGCACTTGCCTTAACTATATCGCGAGTGTACCAACCAAGGTACCTATTCAATTAATCCAAGACTTCCAGTTTGGTGCTTTCTCTTACAATTTGGGGTATAGCTACTACTCTGGAAGGAACATTATAGTCGCCCGTCATCAGATATAGCAGTCGGCATCGCACCATTACATCAACTTCCTAGAAACTCTCAATTAGGTACTCATCCACCACCAAGTTCGCAATTCGGACCCGTATACTATTCTCCTGTATCCAATCTTCTGCGCTCGCACTTCAAGATAAAGCTACTCTATTCTGTTGTGTTGTGTACGGCTTATCATGCAATCCAGACCCTGAGGGACTCCAAGGAAACTGTCGTCATAACAAGTTTAGCCACTTGGTTATATTCTGTCAAGATGTCTAATTTACCAAGAGGCAACCTATCCCCTGGTGACCCTGGTTATTATGATACCAACTCCGAGATGATATACGTTCCTGTCGGTGTCTTCCTGGCTATCTGTCCCATCATTGTTGGCACCAGAATATGGTCGAGGTTGGGAAACGGAGGACATCTTGGCGCCGATGACTGGACTATTCTAGTATCACTTGTATGTCAAAATCTTACAACGTACGTGAAGACGGCGATAAACTACATGTGCTAACGGCCTTACTCAAGGCATTTGCCCTGGCTTCAAGCGGAATCATGCTTGCAGCTTGTCATTACGGCTATGGAAGACATACTTACAGCTTGTCTGGTCCTGACAAATACCAAGCCTTTAAGGTGCGTTCTTAGATACATGTGATCTACTCCCCATACATGTGTGGACCAATATCACTAATTGGATATCCTCCGAACGTAGTACTTCTACCTCTGCCAGGTGACTTATAAGACCTGTATCAACCTGACAAAGGCATCGATTCTTCTACTTTACCTAAGAATCTTCAGCAATACCAAATGGTTCAGGTGTGCGTGCCGCTTCATGCTGCTCATTGTGATCATGTACTGCATCGCATCGGTCACGGCGACGATATTCCAATGCACCCCGATTACCAAGGCGTTCGACAAGTCCATGAAGGGCACCTGCATAGATAACGGAAAGTTCTGGTACGCCAACTCTGGTTTCTCAATCGCGACCGATATCATCATCCTTACTCTCCCCATGACTCTCGTCTACGCATTGCAGATACCTAGGGTCCAAAAGGCTGCCCTGATGATCGTCTTTGCTCTCGGTGTGTTGTAAGTAGCCCGCAGCACACCTTAATATGAATTTACTAACGCTAGGCAACAGTGTGGTTATCACTTCTTGTCTAAGAGTCACGACTATAGATATGCAAGCAAGGACACCAGACCCAACTTACGACATTGCCTCTACCATGTGGACCATTATCGAGATGAACGTAGCGCTCGTGTGTGCTTGTCTTCCGCAGATCCGTCCCTTGATTATCAAATGGTTCCCAAAATTGATGCCTACCTACTACTCAAATTCTCGTGAGAATTCGGACAAACGCGCCGCTTACACTAGCAGTGGCTTGCCAAAGTCCTACCCGAGTAGCAGCGGGAGTCACACCAAGTCGGAAGAGGGTAAATGGGCGCGTATCAGCAACGGTAAGCTTGGATACGAGGGCGCCAATCTAGCCAATTTTCGTAGGGCCGATTCCAGCTCAGAAGAGTATACGCTAAACGAGGAAAAGGGTCTTCAGATACAGAAGACCGTACAGTACACCGTCGAGTACTCGCCGGATGGTAAGCGCGACCCGTATATCGGATCGATGGTATGACGTTGAGAGGGAAATGGGCTACGCGGCTCAATATTGCGGAGAGTTATCTAATAGAGACGATCGCGTTTCGGGTGATTTTGGGAAACTTAGAGAGTACCGATAGTCGTATCTTCTTCCTTTTAGATGCGCTAGCTTCTGTCGCTGTTTAGTCCTTAGATTGCTCAAAGTGCCTATAACTATCTTATTTTTTTAAGAAGCTACGGGGAATGCTAGTGCTTCCACCATCCGAATAGAACTTAGGAGATAGATAGAAACTAATCGAACCAATACGCAAAGGTTATGAGTAGCTTTTAAAGCCATGTACGTTGGTTTGAATTGCGAATATTACGTAGGTAGGTAGGTGTCCCTCGGAATCGATAGGATCTCACCGACTCTTATTCGCACAGTCATAGTAAGATTTGCACCTGTTAATATGATTTGAAACCAACATATTCCTGCAATAGGGCTGATCGATGCAGTTAAGACGTCATCAAGGGTGGCAATATAAAAACGCTTTAAAATTCGTGTTACAACCAACAATGATGGAAGTAGTTGCCGACGAATTCGCCTTATTTGGAAAAGTTTTCGGGATATGTTCTACCCCGAGTGCTTCTACCGTTCTCACACTGCCCCCGGGGTACACCATAAGGATTCGGATTTGGCCGTAACGGACCATTCAGATTAAGGCGACGGCCGACTGTTGATAATACTTACGGGGAAA